AATGCTTATTTAATATTAGCCAAAAGGTGAGAGTGCTGCGAAGAGGAAGAAAGGATCAACGTAAAATTTTTTTAAATTTCGCTCAGCAATATGGCGCACAGAGGCTTCTTCAAATCTTTCCCCACGCTGATGAATATTACATATCCGTCTATTTTCTATTATATTATATATTATGGCAAAAGATTTTAATTAAATTTGTAATTCAGCTGTTTTCTCTTTGTTAACAGAACAGATGTCGCTAACGAAAATACAAATTGTTAACCAGCGCTTTGACTGTCTGTTAAATTTAACAGCCACATTCTTACACCGGCAGTTGTGAAAACGAAAACTAGTTTCAAGAGAAGTTAAATTTTAAGAGGCCCTAAATGAAGCATTTATTCCCAGATTTTTCAACAATTTGACTCAAAAAATTTTATAAAAAAAATTTAGTATTTGAACCAGAAATGCTTTTTAATGTGGTCTTACCACCCTGTTCCCTGTTCGCTCTGGAACCACTTTTATTAATATAAATTATGCGCTTCTATTGCACTCCAACCTAGTATACGTCCAGCTCTATATGTCAGTTTTTATCGATTTGAAGACTGAAGAGAAACTATTCCACTATTGGCCGGTTTTACAGTCAACTCGAGCCGTTCGCCGGTGAAAAGTTAATCGTCAACACTTACACATTGACTTCGACTTCCTTTAACGAGTATGTTAAGTTGTTCCCGATAAGTACCTATGCTAAAAATAAAAACAACAACTTCGGAAAAGTCCCCATTTATCTCCTAAAGTAGTCTGATTTTGACTTGACACGGCAATGTGGTGGTGTGCTCTCTTTCCCCGTGGCAGCGCTGATCTTCTCACTCAAATATTTATCTAGGTTGACTTTTTCGAGTTTGGAAACAAAAAAAGGATGTTGCACGATGTAAAAATCTGGAATATACAGTGAATAAGCTAGTAGTTTGTAGCCCGATCCCGACGAACCAGAAGTAGAGACGTCAATATCACATTTTGTCTGGCGTAAAAAAGACCGACATATGGCCATACTAGCTATAGCTCATGCACTATTTTGAGATAAAAACTGACTCAGCTATCTGACGCTCTTTTTATCTGCAGTCTGTTGATACAATTTAGACGATTTTTCCTGGTACTTGAACGTAAGTTATCAAAAGCCGATGTAGGGTTACGTGGAAACTCATTAAATCAATGTTTTAGAATCTTGTTAAAAGAAAAAAGTCATTCTTAAGAGCATTGATTTCACTATGCGCGTTTCTTCCAAACCACAAATCAAATAATGGTCTGATATTGCTCAATTAAATTTCTTTTAATTCGTGGGCATAATAACAGGGCGGCTGCGGTTGCCGAGTGGTTAGCACTGCATACTGCCACTCGGAATGCTCGAGTTCAAATCCATTGCAATTTCATCCATTAAATTCGGTTATCCAACTAAGTAAGCATGTAAGTAATTTGAACAATTTTTTTTTTTAGAATTAGCAATACTTCAGCTATGCAAAACGGAACTCTTTTAACCTCTATCCTATCCACCTTATTTCCGTCCCACATTTTTACTTCACACAATTCTGCCTTCCAACTATTACATCTTCTGCCGCCGCAAACAATAAATTTTAAGCCGATTCCAAGCATAATTCAGCAAAAAAAAACATCACAACAACGTTTATCTCACAAGATTTTCTTTGCTGTGGTCAGCCGGGCATGGCAAATCAGTCAGTCAGATATCCATTGTATAAGCCATTCATTTATTAAATGCACTTAGCAATGAGTGAGTGAGTTATATGATGATTTGCTTTGGCAATGGCAGTGAAATCGCAAATCAAATTAATGTACACTGACATACATACATACATCTGCTATATCGACATATTGATTTGATGCTGATGGCCTAGCTTTGCACTTCACAGTGTATTGTTTTGAGATTTTCTCTATGTAGACATACGAAGACCCTCAACTTTGAGAGCAAAAAGCGAAAGGATTCTTCAGCAGAGTTCTGTTATCAGAATAATAATCAAATTTTCCATCAATTAGTCAGATATAAGGAGCTTTTGGTACGAGATAAAATTATTTTAATACTGAGATCTTGCACCGTGCAGATGTGATCGGAACCACGAAAATGACTTCGACCGTTAGAAACTCAATTTTTTATATTGAATTGTTGATTTTCCAGACAGTGCTGAATTTCTGGATCGCACTTAGGTTCATTTCTACAATCTCTTTCCATATACACAGTGATCAGACTCTGACGTAGCGTTCAATAAACCCCAGAAGATGCAGCCAATATATAAAATACATTAATATCATCTACGGGTGTTGCATTGATTCTACTAAACCGCAAGTTACATAACAAATAACTTAGAAGCTGTGGAAAGTCTTTGGAAGACTAGGTTCTTGGTCAGATCATGATCAATAGGATATTAGACAGAGCGTAGAATAACATGCAAATGTTGATTTTGGGAAAAATCGCAGCAGTGAAAATACTTAACCAACTGTACTTAAGTCGTTTTATGTCGATAGCCAGGCACAATGAAGGCATTAATCTTACATCGCATAGCATTACGAAATATCTTTGGAATCAGGGAAGCAGTACATAAGGCGATCAAGGGCAAACGGCTAAATACATATGGGTTTCCAGGCTGCAAGTGCATTCCGGGGAATATAATAGCTGATGAGATTGTCAAAAGTGTCATTGAAAGAGTGAGGTGTTGGATCAGGATAGAACGAAAGACATTAGCGACATGCAATATCAGAAAAATAAACGTACATTTCTTGCTTACGCGGTCACATAAAGGCTGTAGAACCTACTGGCATCCCATGCTAGCAGAATGTACATTAGTAGCAGTGACATATGTACTGAATGCGAGAAGTTAGACATAAGTGAGACGCTAGAGGATCTCCGCTCTTTCTGTCTATCACGGAGCCTCGCAGCTCTAGAGACTAGTGTAGGCGTCCAAATTGCATTTTAAGACTCTTTTTAACTTCGAAAAAAGTGTCGTCTTTGGTACTGCAAAGGACCAAGGAGTCTATGCGCGCTTCAGCCGGCCATTTTAATCTAACCTCACATAGTCGCTTGATCCCTCAACCCGCAGGGTGGTACTATAAAACTCTTTTTTTGAAACAATAACGGAAAAGATCGAAATCACTAAATCTAGAACGAATCTTTGTGTTAAATTCACAAAAATTTAGGAAACATAAAATGCCCTCTCACTCCGTGGAACTATTTTTTAATCAGACCTATTTAAATTTTAAGAAATTCTGGGAATTAATAAGCCGAATATGGTCGAGTTCGCGGAATAAGCCTCTCTCTTACGTCGAAGCTTTTGTGATGTAACGAATTCAACACAGAAACAGAAATGACCTCTTATTCTGCTCTGAGCTTAAGTTAGAGATTGAATACCTTTGCAACGTTCATTAGATTCAGAAGGCCTAAGTGGAAGCTTTTTGGTTCTTCATAAAGAATTCTTCTTTCAGCTTTAGTTTATTAGTTTACTACATAATATTTTCATTGCCGAAACTCAAATATATCGAAGCCATTGTGACAACACACACTAGTGCAAGGAGAAACTAAAGAAAAATTTGAGATATAAATAAACCGCAATATTTTCACTGCACGATTTATACATTTCTCCAAGGCATAAAATGATTTCTTTCCATTTCATTTCGAATGCAACTGCTATACAATAAATACACAGCTATCAATGCAGATACATTCGTATGTACATATTCGTGGCTGTGCGCAATAATAATGGTGGGCAACAACAACAATAACAAGAACATAAACAAATGGACGGACAGACAAACAGCAGCAGCAACAAATGCATGGCCGACAGGCAAGAAGCTGGAGCTAATACGAAGCCAACCAAAGAATCAACCAACCAACCAACCAACCTGCCGATTCTGCCAACGAAACCAGTAACTCAGCGAGCCATGAATTATGTTACTGTGGAATTACAGTGATTTCTCTTAACCAAAACCTGGAACTGAGGCTCTCCTTTGTATTCCCAGTTACTTTTCCAACGTTTTTGATTTGTTTGATTTTTTTTTATTTTCATTTTTTTTGTTTGATAATTTGCTTTAGGAGTTACAATTGATTTTTTCTTCAATTTTTTATTACTACTTTTTTTTTGTTTGTTATTTTTTAGACTTTTTCAATTTTTTGGGATTTATTTCTTTCTGTACGCGCATAGAGATTATTAGCAACTTTCGTTGTGCATTCGTCGCTGCAATTACTTATTGTTGTTTATTGTTTGCAATTGTGGTTTGGCATTGTTGGTCAGAGATTTTGCTAGATTTATTGTTATTGTTGTTGTTGCTGTTGTTATGTATTATTATTGCTACGAGTTTTATTTTCACTTCTTTTTTCTTTTCTTTTTTTTGTGGATTTGAGATCATTTATGGCTAAAGTTACACGCAGATAAATGCAAAGTATGTATTTATGTTTATTGTGCGGACTTTGTTTTTTATAGTTAGTGTAATTTCAACGGCTGCCGGCATTGAGTTTTGATTGATTTGTGGCATTTTCGCTTTGGCTTTACAATGGTTGAGTAGAAGTGAGTTTTATTTCAGAGAAAATTGTGGAAAAATTATGAGAAATCCTTAGAGATGTAGAGGAAATTTGATTTATTTGTAAGGATTTATAATAAAATTTATGGACAAAACCCACTACAATGTGAAATAGTAGTTTAGTATTAAATTTACAATTGGAAAATATAATACAGAGATGTGCATGATGATTTCTATTGAATTTTCTACACAGAAAAAATGATAGAACAACAGTGAAGTGAAGATAGTAAAATATATAATTTTATAATCAATTAAATAATATTAAGTTCGAAATTCTTTTAGACTTCCTAGCCGTTTGGTAACCGTCCTATAAATCACATACAAAATATTTAAATTGACTATACTTAAAATTAATATTCTTCTGGAGCAATACTAGTTCTAAAAAAACTCATTTACATTTAAAAATATTAAAATATATTAATTTTAATTTATTTTTTACTCACCACTTATATGCCCATTCTCATAAGCGTAATCCCCATTGTCCAAACGATGCTTCTTCAATTGCGGATGCTGTGACAAGTGTGTGGGCGGCAGCGACAAACCGACGGGGCCACGTTTTGGCGGTCGACCCGGTCTGGAACTGCGGAATTGCAGAGAGTTACTGTTGGGTTAAAATAATGCCAAAGTGTCAGTAGCACAGACCACAATTATTTAATTTATTTTTTTTTTGTTAATGCGGATAACAGCAGCGTGGTTGTGTCTCCATAATAAAAAAAAAAGCTTGCATACATATAAGTAAATATAAAGTGGCAACGAAGTACAGAACAAACCAAAAATGCTAGAAAAAAAACAATTAAAGTCTTTGATTCAATTATTTTGATGTTTGTTACTATTTCTTGTGACCCTTATTTTAAACAATTTTTTTAACCTATGTATATAATTTTATTGAAATTGTATTTATGTAATTTTATTTAACTTAATTTTAATTATTAATGTTCCTATTTATTTAGATTTTTTTTATTTCATTTTATGTTGCTGTAATTTAATATAATTTTATTTATATTTAAATAACTAATTTTAATTTAAACTTATTTTATATTATATTATTTTATTTTTCATATTATTTTATTTTAGTTTTTATGCTATTTTTTATTTTTATTATAATCCAATATTAATTTCCGTTAATAAAATTCAAATTGAAATTAATTTATTTAACTATTTCTAATTTTTATTTGGATTTTATTTTTAAATCACTTAATTTAATTCCACCTTAATAAAATTTTAGTTTCAAATTTTAAACATTTCAGAAAAATTGGATTTTTTAATTTCGCTTGTTAAATTTTATTTTAAATTATTTTATTTTGCTTATGTTTAAAATATTATTTTTTAAAACATTACTATTGTATATTGTATTTTATTTAAATATTTTTAATTAATTTTATTTACTTTTGTTCATTTATAAATAAATTAAAACAATTTACTTTAAATTGTTTTTTGCTTTATGTTTTAAATTTTATGTTTTTTTATTTTATTTTCTTCCTTTTTACACAATAATAGTTAAATTTTTTAATCTATTTCATTTTAAAATAATTTAATTTTACTTATTTCATTTTTACATCACTTTAATTTATACTGTTTAGTTTAAAAAAAACTATTTTATTGCATATTTTATAATGTTTTTCACCAAATGTTTTAATTTTATTTTATATTACATAATTTTTATATTTCATTTATTTGATTTATTGTTTTTTGATACTATTTAATTTTTTTTCATATAAATTTACATTTTATTTTACATTCTTTTCATTTATTTTTTATTTTTTAAGTAGTTTTACTTTATTCCACATTATCTATCTTTTTTTAACAAAGAAATATGTAATTTTTTTATTTAAATACTTTTGATATAAAAAATTATTTTGAGCTACTTATTTGTTTAAATTTCCAAATTTTTATTTTAGTTTATTTTTTATTTCATTTTATTTTTCATTCTATTTATTTTATTGTATTTTATTTTATAATTTTTATTAATTTTTTTTATGATATATTATATTTTATTTTATTTTATTTTACAATTTTTATTACACTTCAGTTTATTTTTTTTTATTTGATTTTATTTTACATTTATTTTTGACTTATTTTTTTTTTTTTTTTNTTTGTTTTCTTTTTTTTTTTTTTTTTTTTTTTAATTTAATTTGAGGTTTGTTTTACTTTTGTTACTTCAAATTGCTTTATTTATTTTATTATTTATTATTTTATTTTATTTTAATTTATTTTTTTCGAATATTATTAAGTTTATTTCATTCTGGAAAAGCGCATAGCTCTCAACAACAAAATTCAACGCTATAAACATAATTTCAGAGAACTTTTTACAACAATATATATGATGTTTTTCTAAGTATTTTAAGCCCTTATCAAATATTTATTATTTATTTAGCTATTTACTTTATATTATTCCGCAATTGCGCTAAATATGTGTAAATATTAGTCTCATTTTTATTTAACAACAAATAAATCCAAAGAAAGTGAAATTCATTTTCTTAAATTCTCTTTATCGCATTGTATTTTTGATTTTGATTTCTTTATTTAATTTCATTCGTGTTCGCTTCGACTCATACATATGCACATTTATTTCAGCGTGTTGGGAAAAGAGAATAAACTTGCTACTGTTCACGTTAAGAGATTAGAAATGTAAACATATGTAAGTGTGCAGGCACACAAATTTAATATTTATTTATACAAAACAAAATAACCCAATTAAAGCTGTTGGTTGGGGCAATAATTTAAGGTAAAAGTATTTGGTGTTATGCTCCAATTCACGGTCAAGCACTTAGAACCACCTGCATATACCTAAATTACAAAGAGTTAAATTTTTTCAACTGAATTTGTTATTTTTTGATTTTGTTACTGCTTTTAATGAATATTTGTACTTTTTAATTAGAAAAATATGTGACTCATTTCGGACAAATATTCTTTGATTTTCAACATAGAAACACCAAATTTGGTACGTAGCATCCCAACTGTTATCTATACTATTTGCTATTTATTTAAGCTTATTGCCAAAATCCCGCCTAATCTTAACTGTAAATATAATAAATTTTTTATAAAATCAACAAAACCAATATTTGTGTTGGCCACAAAAACAAGCAATACAGATGCAGATGCTGGTGACACTTTTAACATTTTAATGTGCTCTTAATTTGAAAAGCAAAAGAAAACGATGGATTTAAATACAACTAAATAATTTTTGGAACCCAAAAAAAAAATAGACAGCACAAATATTTACGTGCACTTTTTAACTTTTATAATAAAAAATGTATAAAAAAATAATAATTTATTAAATATACAAATTAAAAAAAAACATTGGTTGAAAGGTTTCACCTTCACTCGCCCCTTGGTGTTTTCGACCTATAATCTCGAATATATCATAAATTCTTGAAGACTGTTGTCATAAGCCTGACATGCACTGCATAAATTTTATTGCGAATTTTTATTCTACAAGAAAAACAACTTTCATCATGAACCAATTTGTGTTGAAAGCCAGAGGAGATGGCGTATTGAAATGTCATGTGAGCACAGAAATTCACAGAAAAAATATATGGTTACTATTTTTGTTTTAATATACTATATGTATGTACACATTTAATTCCATGCAGATGAGTCAATTGTTTTGAAGATGTCACAGAAAAAATTTCAGCGTTTTTTGTTGTAAACGTATATGTACAATAGATTTGTGAGTTAATTGAGCCTAAATGAGTAAGCAGTTTGTTTTTTGGCACAGTCGGGAAAATAATTTTAACTAAGTAAATAATTTTTAATAATATTTTATTTTATTTTTAATTCTAGCTTTTTATTTTTCAAATTTATATTGTTAAATTTATATACTTCTTTGAATTTTTTTTAGTTTTTTTTAGTTTTTTATTTCGATTTAGATATTTTATTTTTAGATTTTTAACATTTTTAATTTTAGATTTTTCATTTTAGTTTTTTATCTTTAAATTTTCTATTTTCAATTTTTTTCAATATGTTTTTTCCCATTTCTTAATATTCCCCAAATGTTAAATTTTTTTTAATATATTTTATTTCCCAAAATATTTTGAGTAATAATTGTAGATATGACTAAATACATATAGAGAAATTTATGCTATGTACATAAGTATGTTAAATATCATTTCCATGCATAAATTAATAAATTCAACAAATATGTTTGCCACAGCCACATATTTACATATGTACATACAGATTTGGCAATAAATAAGTCACCGATCTTACAACACACGCGACGTATATAAAATATATTAGCTGCTGCACATACATATATACAAATCTAGTACATACACACACACAAACATACATATGTATGTATTTATCATTTATCATATTTTTTATATTCGTTTAATAATTCTTTCAAGTCCATTATCTGCAGTATTTGTTTGCTACTGTGCAATAATTTTCAGTTGTCTTGTTTTTATAAGTACATATGTATGCATGTGTGTATGTACACTGCATACGCACATAAGCCTTATGCAAACATGACGCAAGAATACATAGCTTTATTGTTCACATATTTGAATTAAGATTTAATTTGTTTCTATTTGTTTTTTTCCCTTCTTCTTCTTCTTTATTTTCTGATGTTAATTTTTTTGTCTACAGACTTATTTATCTATTTATTATGTTGGAATTTTCATGCAAACAAATTTTAAGCGCGTTGTCATATATTTATTTAGAGTTGTATACATTTGAATGTGTGTATAAAAACAAAGAAAAAAATACAAAAACCGATATCATAAATTAAATATTTTTGCTGCGCAATACGCATGCATACATTCAAATTTCATACACATACATAATCCTCTATTTCAACGAGAACCCCTAAAACCCCAACTCCACCTAATATTAAAGATTCATACATAATCTATATCAGATTCGGCCGCCTCTTCGTAATTTATGTAATCTTTTATTCTCTTAGCTGTGCGGTGCCAATTGGAAACACCAAATAAATCCATACAAAATTTTTACAGCGGCATGGAGATTTTACTCGAAAGCTGAAGTGTCTCCATCCTATTGTCTCTTAACTCAGGACCCAAAAAATCTTTCGCAAAACTACCCATCGCTCGCACTTTTATGCTGCAGAACAGGAATTGTAACGACACGTAGAGTTTGATCTCTGTTCATCGACGACAAATTCCTTTACTTCTCCAGTGTCAATTGAGAGCAAAGAGGCAAGTGTGATGTTGGGTTGGATTTCAATTTTTTACGACTTCAAAGCGATAGCTGTCAACAATGATATGGAAGCCCAAATACGAGTGAGCTGACTATTCTTTTGATCAGAGGAGATATTTCGTTATGTCCTTGGTTACTAACAGACCCATTTGCTCTCATTTCAGTATGAAGAACGCAAAACTATCCGATGTTGTCAATATTATCCGCTCACTAAAGTAGATATACGCTCCCGTAGAAGGTTATATCCTCTCTAATTAGCTCTAAAAAGTTACAGGATAAGGAAACCGTCATTTAGCTTACATTGGATTTTCCTGCGTCTGACGGAACTTTGTGTACGTGTGTTGCATAGAATGAGTGTAGTTTTGCGGGATTACCAAGTTCATACATAATCTCTGATGCCCATGGATAAGCATGAGTGGGGAATTTTTGAAACTAAGTCAA